GGAATCAGCAGCAAAGCAGAAATTTAGCTCAGGAAGTTCCCCCATTTTAGAAGTAAGCAAAGGACAACAAATTAGTTCCAGTGAAGAGTTTAAGTAGTGGGGTATCTAATAATCCAATGCAGAACTGAAAGAAAACACAAAAATCCCACAGATCAGAGAAAAAGTTCTGATATTAACTAGTAAAGGTCTAACTACTACTAAAGAACACCTATAAAAAACACCTACAAAACTTAAAAGGACTGGAAGCCCCCAGGCTCCCAAGCCAGGGTCGGGGGAGGGCTGAGGGCCTCAGCGATGCCCCTCAGACACAGACATCCATCCCAGCAATGACGAGCAGGCCACTGCTGGAAGCACCTGGGCTCCCAAGCTGGGCAAGTCAGGGACCAAGGGCCTCAGCCACACCTCTCCTATGTCCACATCCAGCCTAGTGATGACCACCAAGGCTGCTGCTGGAAGTGCCTCAGGCTCCTAGGCCAGGGGTGGGGGTGGGGCCTGAGGGCCTCAGCCCCCACCCCCACCCCCCGAAATCCATATCCAGCCCAGCTGTGACCAGAAGCCATCAGAAGTCCCCTGGGATCCCCTGCCAGAATGACGAGCCTTGAACCCCCTCCTCCTCCACCCTATCCCCTTCCCCTTTCTCCTCTCCCCCTCCCTCCCAACTGCTCCGCAACATCTTGGACTGTAAAATAATAATAATAATAATAATGATAATAAAAAATAAATATATTAAAAATAGAAGAAAAAAAATCAGTTAAGCCAGGAAGGCTGGGCAGTTAGCTAAACTGGTTAGAGCATGGTCCTGATAACCATCAACATCAAGATCCTTGAAACAGCCTGCGGCAAAAAAAAAAAAAAAAAAACAACCCCAAAACAAACAAAAAAACCCAACTAGTCAAGACAAAAAAGGGAAGGGAAAAAAATTATTAAAATATTTTAAATTCACAATTATTAAATTACATGCTTAAATATACAAATGTGTACATATGTGCATGTACTGAGTGAAAATTACTACAAATATCATTTAGCCAATAAGCAATGAATATATGTATTTTCCCATCTTTCTGGCTAAGACCAATAAGAAAGTGATTAAATATGACAGAGCTGAATTGTACTAATGTGCAAAATACACATTATTTCTAAATACAAGGTAACTATGAAATCATGTATTTTAATTTTTATTTGAGAAAATAACTTTAAACATTCAGTCTTTCTATTCATTAAAGTCCTATTACTGAAGAGTGAATCTCAATTATTCTTGCTTATAATTAATTTTTTTAAGTCATATACTTTA